CCTCACTACCTCTGAGGATGCTTGCCATAGATGTAGGCGAAACGTCTCATGGCCATATAGCCCAAAAAAACCTACAACAACCCAGTGATTCTGGCCATGACAATACACTGATACTATTGTTTTCACTCTCATAACAGAGCAATAACGATTTTGTTATTAGCCTGTTTATATTAGAATTCTAGAGTAATGATTCACTTACCCGCCCTTAATGTAGTCAAGAAACGAAACTTCTGTTTCCACTAGGAAGGAAAGTAATGTTACCTGAGAGCAAGTAACAAGGAATAAGTATTGAACATTAATTGTCATAATGACCACAAAATTCTGTTTAGTATTTGAGAATAAAATTCTTTAAAACTTCTCCAAAATGCTGTTCTAAAAACATGACATCTACCACTGACATGTATTAATAACTCAACCTCCATTTCCATATTTCCAACAATAAAAAAATATCTGTTTGAAGAACATTCTGTTCCTGCCACATCTTCCTTCGCTCCACTTGTCACTTTCATTTCATCAGACTCCTTACATATGTGTACAAATGGATTTCTATTTTAGATAACTAATTAGCTTCTTTGCATCATCATTATCACCTTTATCATTATTAGTATCACACAATCTGGCTAGAATGATTGCAAACTATAAATCAAGGAAGTCTTGGCTATAGGCTAATTTGCACCCCAGCATGGTACAATTTTGTTGTACAAGGTGTATAACAAGTGGCAGGTTATAGGCACAGCTTGCACTGTGGAATGCTACTGCAAGGCACTATTCTGTGAACAACGCTAAAATGTAGTGTTTTGTATTTTCCAGGCTCCTGCTTCAACTGTATAGATCAGAACAGTAACACAATATCTTGTCCTGTTTGAGCAAAATAATTGAACAACTCCCATTTGAAATTTGAAATGTTTGGGAAGGTTTAATGGGTTTCGGTTAAATCAACACTATTCTTCAAGTAATCACATATGAACGTTATTACCAGCAATTTAATTCCCACGGAATCAAAGTTCATTTTTAGTAGCAACTTCATCAGCACAACTATTATAGGGACACAATAAAGAAGCAAATCTTTCTCAGAATACTTTACATAACTCCTTCAGAATAACCAAAGGAAGCCCATGTTGATCCTATAAGCCCCATTAGAAAAAAAAACCCCAACAGCCAACATTCATGCAACAACAAAAGCCCACTCACTATGTTTTGACCTTTGGTTACATTTAATAAATATATTGTCTGTCAGCTTTGGAGTTTCTTGAACAATGTTGAATTAAAAATATCTGACTTCAAGATGTATTACAATAGATGGAAAAGCATGTACTTAACTGTTCCTGAATTAATGTATTTTTTCTTTTTTGCCTTTTTCTTTGGATTTATTACCTAGAAATGTAGGATAATAGAAATATGTTAACCATTATGTATATAAAAACAGAGAAATATCTACGGTACTTATCCTTAAGGCCACAATTAAATGTTGCTAGAACCAGGGCTTACTCCATTTAAATACCACTTACAAAAAAAACACTCAATTCCCAAACATCCTTGACTGTATTTTGTCGTTCAATGCAATGAACGACAAAATGGAAATGTGAGAAATACATTTAAGCCCAAATTAGAGAATCAACTTTTGAAAGTTAAGTCAACATTTATGCAAATTCCATTACTTTAATGGCTCTACTATAGTTGAAACAAGGAATTGGACTAAGACCATCACATACAAACTTTTCTACCAGCATTTTATTTCCCAGGAAATCAGGCCATTTACGTGCAGTGACTACTGGAATGGTCCAGGATTATAATTGTGGATGGTGTAGTTTTAATAGTTGATGTAATGTTTAAATCAGTGATTCCCAATCTGTGGTTCATGGACCACCAGTGATCTAAAAGAACTAAAATATGGTCTGCAACCTCACCATTACTACACCGTTGCAACGAGAACAACTGGTCTCGTGAACCCGCCTTATAGTGCCGAGGGTTATTAAATATGGTTTTCAGTGGGTGAGCAGATGGTAACTACTGGGATGGCATATGTTCTGTATCAGAAACTAGAGCTGATGGGGTCTATCCAGTGCAATTCTTGGAATCAGCACCCCAAATAACCAAACTGAATCAAAAACTGATTCATATCCCTTTTGGTACTAATGCTGGAGAGCGGTCCCTGGTCAAAGTGGTCTCTGGTCAAAAAAAGGTTGGGAACCACTGGTTTAAATGTTTTAATTTGTGGTTTTAATGTAAATGTTTATTTTAATTGTATTTTTATAGAATTGAATTATTACCCAGTTCAAAGCAGATATTGTGGGATTTTCTGCTTTGATATTTTGGGATACAGGGCTGTGCCCTTAGTTACTTATATTAGGTTGAGCATCTCTTTTCCAAAATGCCTGGTACCAGAAGTCTCCTGTATTTTGGATGGCAAGGGGGGGGGGGGGTTGGAATACTTGCACACAGATATTGTATGCATTTTAAAATAATGGGTATATTTTGCATAATTTATAAAAAATGTATAAATGCTTGTAGGTTTTGAAGATTGAGTAAAGTGTTGAAACAGTAAGGAAGAATAAAGAAATTGTTTGAGATAAATAGTTAGCCAGGTGACAAAAATATTTCCATCATATGTGTTTAAGTTGGAAGGTGGGGAATCCATTGTAACTGTTTATTTTTATTAATGTTTTAGAGGGGAGGGAGGAGGAGTTAGTTTTATTTGTAGTATATATAATATAAGTTGTGTTTTGGAAAATTATTGATTTATAAATTGTATAATAATACCTATATTGCTGGGGGAGGGGAGGAATCAATAAAAGGATTTTAAAAAAGAAATTATATTTGATCTGAATTTCTCATACATGGTGAAAAGGTGGCTAAATTAATACAAATAACTGTTCATGTATGTTATAAAAGATATATAAGCAATGCTAACTTTATTTTCAGCGCTCAGATATATAAAAAGAAACAGCAATGCTATTTACCTCATACACATTAAACTGTGACTGTCCTCTGGACAGTTCTCTGAAACTCGTTGTGAATTCTCCAATAAAATCGTGACTAGAAATAGAAACAAAATAGATTAATAGGTAAAGATAAAAATAAAACACTACTTAACCTTTGTCAATAAAGAGTCTTAAGAGAATTAGGAATTTCCCTAAGAAATTTCCAACAATTCTAAGAAATTTCCATTTGGTGTTGTGAAACCTTGTAATTGCTCCATGAACTCAGTCCCCATGGTATTCAGCCAATTGGATGGGCAGGTAAAAGAAATGGGAGTACTGAATATAACTGATAAATCTGTGATATAACAGCCAGGTCTTCGGTAAAAGTTACATAGTGTAATGGGTGTGAAAATAGCCAGAAAAAAATCAGCGTTATAAGTAATAGCTAAGTAATAGTTCAAAATACATAGGCCTAAATCTTAATTTTACTCCCAGCTAGAGAAGAATCAATGTGTTTACTCACCATTCAAAAAGCGACTCAAAGGGTGTAATCTATCTGGGACTAAGCAACAGGATTTTGACCTTAATAGAAAGGTTGCCTGGTATAAACCTGACTGCAAAACAACTACATGTTCAAACTAAAATGCTGTGGCTGAATTGATTTGTGTGTTTCTTTTTTAACATAGAATTTCCTTCTACTATGATTTTAGATTTAGGATTAAGTGATGGAAATGCCTCCACAACAGCTTCCCAAACAGTAGCTATAATAAATATTCACATAACATAATTGCATTTCATGATGACAATAAATTAATTACCTTCCATCTCTATCCCAGTCATACACCTCTACCTTAATCGTTCTGTAAACAAACAAATAAAAAAGAGAAAAGCTATACACAAATATAAATGAAAAGATTGTCAACACAAATAATGCAACAAATATTGCGATTTCATACTTGCATTGTGCAGTCCACACCTAAAGATAGTGGGATTTTGTTACTTTTCAATCAATAGGGAATATAATATACTGATAGTTTAAGGTGTCTTTACAAAGGTAGGTGCACAATTGAATACATATAAAATCTAAAAACATTGGGCATAAAAACAGCTAGGAAGATGTTGTTTTGTTGTTGTTGTTGTTGTTGTTATTATTATTATTATATTATTATTATTAGCAAACAAGTTTTCCATCTCATAGAATCATAGAATCAAAGAGTTGGAAGAGACCTCATGGGCCATCCAGTCCAACCCCCTGCCAAGAAGCAGGAATATTGCATTCAAATCACCCCTGACAGATGGCCATCCAGCCCCGGTTTAAAAGCTTCCAAAGAAGGAGCCTCCACCACACTCCGGGGCAGAGAGTTCCACTGCTGAATGGCTCTCACAGTCAGGAAGTTCTTCCTCATGTTCAGATGGAATCTCCTCTCTTGAAGTTTGAAGCCATTGTTTCGTGTCCTAGTCTCCAAGGAAGCAGAAAACAAGCTTGCTCCCTCCTCCCTGTGGCTTCCTCTCACATATTTATACATGGCTATCATATCTCCTCTCAACCTTCTCTTCTTCAGGCTAAACATGCCCAGCTCCTTAAGCCGCTCCTCATAGGGCTTGGTGAAAAGTATACCATCTAGTCTATCTGATCTGATTTCCCAGAAGAGTTCCAAAGTGTAAATGCCACCACACAGAACACTTAACACTGAAGTATTGTTGAAACAATCTTTTGTCTGATAAATGTGGAAATATTGTTTCTGGGTTAACCTCTGCTTAAGTGGAATGTATTTAGAACTGAGGAAATGGTCATATACAAGCCTGAAAGGTCAAAGAAACTATTCACTGGTCCAATTCTATGGTCACCTTAGGACCCTAAATATTAAAGACCAGGGTTATTTAAAGATTAAAGAAGAAGGTAGGTGGCAGAAGCCCTGGGCCAGAGTCTGTATGAGGAATCTGGTAGGAACAATTTACCATCACAAGCTACAACTACAGAGGGACATATTGCATGAATAAAAACAACAACAAAAAAACCTCAACTGGATTACAGAGTATTTTCATAATGTAATGACTTTGTTTTGTTGTGTCAGGAGCGACTTGAACTGGTAGTATTTTATGTTTATGGATGTTTTGAGCTCAAACATAAAGTAATGAAAAATCATGCTTCAATTAAACTGCCATACACATGCAACACTTTATGACTTATTATTTCATAGATGATTGATCAGAATAATAAGACAAACTAATGAGACAAAAGGGTCTAAAACCAATTGTTAATCCCAACTACATACATTTTAATCAATGGGATTTACATAAGTGCTAATTAACTACCCAATGATGCAATGGATCCATTCCGAGAGGGACTAACAACCGAACTTAGGCCAAGAAATGTTACTAGTGTACATCATAACCAGAAGAATTATGTTCTTTAAGTTGCACACTAGCAAAATGATTTAATAGGTTCTATTCTAATTACAGAAATACTTTAGTAGTTTGAGGAAGCTTCATATCCAGCAAATAGGATCTGCAGTTAAACCCTTGTGCCGGCTGAACTGCTGACCTGAAGGTTGGCAGTTCAAATCTGCAAGATGGGGATAAGCTCCCATCTGTCGGCTCCAGCTTCCCATGCAGGGACAGGAGAGAATCCTCCTACAGGATGGTATCACATCTAGGCGTTCCCTTGGCAACATCTCTGCAGACAACCAATTCTCTCACACCAGAAGCGACTTGCAGTTTCTCAAGTCACTTCTGACGCCATAAAAATAAAACCTAGCAAATTCCCGAATCAATCAAATGAATGGATGATATATACCAACAGTCATAACCATACATTTATAAAAGAATGGAAATACATCACCATGTTAGACTGATTACAAGAATGACACGCATTTTAAAAATGATAATAACAAGAAGTTTTATTTATATCCCGCCCCCTCGCCCCAAAAGGACTCGGGGCAGCTTACAACAGAAGAAACACAATGTAATAGTAGTAAACATACAACCAAATCAAATGTAAAACACACAATAATTAAAGCACAAAGCATAAACATATTAATAAAATTTGGAAGGGTATCCATGCATATAATAAAGTTATAAATATGGAGATTCTTGTGACACTTTGGCAGATCACATGAGCAGATGTTACAGCCTATTTTATCTTTTAGAATCCTACAGTGAAATGTGGAGGAATCCTCGTCTGAATTATCACCAATCACTGCAACCAACGTTTAAAATACTGCTTTGGCTTTTCAGTCAGTTTCAACTGAATGAAGCTATTCATTTGCTCTGGATGTGTTACTATTTTTTAAATAGTAACACATCCATTAAGAGTTACAGTTACTGAATGGAAGTTACCATGAAAAGAACTCAGAAACAAAATGTGTTTTAAATAATTATTATACGAAGTAGCATGCTTCAGAAACAAATATTACTTACAAGTCATACATGAAATTTACCATTTATAGGCATTAAACTCCTTTAAGAAGAGAAAAAGTATCAAGGAGTATACCAAACCAAATATCAACATTTCATACCTAGGATTATCTTCCTGGCACAAGGAAGAGATGCCCATAAGGGATATCAATTATGGTTTTTTCTTTTTGTGTCAGGAGCGACTTGAGAAACTGCAAGTTGCTTCTGGTGTGAGAGAATTGGCTGTCTTCAAGGACATTGCCCAGGGGGTGCTGGGATGTTTGATCTTTTATCATCCTTTTGGGAGGCTTCTCTCAGGTTCCTGCATGGGGAGCTGAAGCTGACAGAGGGAGCTCAACCCGCTCTCGCCAGATTTGAACCGCAAACCTCCCTGTTAGCGGCCCTGCTAGCACAAAGTCTTAACCCATTGTGCTACCAGGGCCTTCAAACAATTATGGTGGCACTGAATAACACTATTTATCCAAATTCACACATTTGCTGGGTTTTATTCATTCTCTGGCATTGGTTTAATTACTAAATAGACTGTTTTGGGAGTCAAATATGTTTACCATTCAAGAAAAATAAAGGAAATCATTTCCTATAAATTATTTAAGAAATTAGTAAGACTATCAAGATTCTTTCAGAAAAGTGTATGCCTGATGTTCTCCAACCTTAGAATGTAGTCAGAAGTGTTTCTTAACACATATGGCTTGATTATACTTTTGTATCTTCATAAAACGTATACAGTAAACCCATATCCGTGAAAGCAAGTTATATTTAGTTTTATCAAGTAAAATTTCAACTAAATGTTTTTGCGGAACTAATTATACGCATCTTGAGTTATAATTAATTACAATGATAAATATTTTGTTCTTGCCTAGATTGTAGATAAAAGTATCATTCCACTAATTGTGAACAAAAACCCACATGATGGACATTGTACTTTCTGTCTAGATTAATTGCATCAACACGAATATCAACTTCTAAGCAAACATTAAGAGATAAGATAATGAAGCTGGGAAATTTGCCTCAGGGTTTAATTGGCTCTTCAAACTTTATTTATTGGGGGTAATTTATCTAATTAAAATCCTGACACCCAATGTTTATTATGATTATATTCTCTTCTAATTTGTCAAAAACTTCCATCTGTCTATGAAATGACAGAAAGAGGCAGAAGTCCTTAGTTCTTGTAGAATCCAGGTGTGTAATTCAGTCTGACAAATGCAAATACTGAATCTTCTTACTTTACTCAGTTCAAAGTCATAACGCAAAATGTCGTTATTTGGATGGCTAATATAGAAAAAATAGAAAAATCTACTTCTAACTAATATACTTAGGACTATCTCAGATATGAATGTAACAAATAACAAAATTTTGTGAAAGATGGCTCGACTGAATACTAAACGTTTGTACTGAGCTTATACTTCCAAGACTGTGATTAAACTATCTTATGTGATCTTACAGATATTGATAGAGGAAACATTCAGCATTTCTTACCTGTCATAATCCCCATTACAAAGTGCTCTGACAGATATCTTGAATGCCTGCCACACTGGATTTAATGTATTCTTTATCACTTCTGTTTTGTGGCAAATTGTAAAGCTAAAAAACAAAAAAATGTTTATTTTTATTTATTCCACAAGTATTTATCACTTTATTTATTTCACAAGTATTTATCAATGCTGTGACACAGAGAGTGGGGATGGGAGACAGTCAGGGTGTCTCCAGCAATGTTGAACCACATTTGGCACTGCTGGCTACTTCTTGCCTCTGCAATGGCAAAGACAAGGGCCATACCAGAGATGTTTGGACCATACCAGGGCCAATCTGGCATTTGGCATGTCAGATTGGCGCTGGGTTATGGGTAAGTGTAGATTTACTGTCTTAAGGGGGAAAATAAGTGATTTCTTCCTCCCACTACTCTGAGATTATGCAAAAAAACCCCAAACTGTGAATTTGTCTCACAGTCACTAACACAGAAAAGAATTCACACATCATCCATATCTGTTAATGCCATTTACAAACAATGATTGTGATTTATAATGTCAACCAAATAGTCAACACAGTTTTGAACATATTCCTCAAATGTAGTGTCTAAGTCAGGAGCCCTCAAACTAAGGGCCGGGGGCCGGATGCGGCCTTCCAAGGTCATTTACCCGGCCCTCGCTCAGGGTCAGCCGAAGTCTGAAACCACTTGAAAGCACACAACAACAACAATCCTATCTCATCAGCCAAAAGCAGGCCCACACTTCCCATTGAAATACTAATAAGTTTATATTTGTTAAAATTGTTCTTCATTTTAATTATTGTATTGTTTTAAGTGGTTTTTGCACTACAAATAAGGTATGTGCAGTGTGCATAGGAATTCAATCATTTTTTTTTCAAATTATAATCTGGCCCTCTAACAGTTTGACGGACTGCGACCTGGCCTTCTATTTAAAAAGGTTGAGGACCCCCCTGGTCTAAGTCCTTTGGAGTTCTTTTCAGGAAAAAGAAAGCAACAACGTTCTAGATGTTTACAAAATTATAAGTTGTGCACAGAAAGGACTGTAGTACTTCCCCTTTAATGAACATTGCTTATTGTTGTGGGCCTTCTAATTATTTCCAGCCTATGGTGACCTTGAGGTGAACGTATCACAGAGTCTTCTTGGCAAGATTTTTTTCAGAAGGGTTTTTGTCTTTGCCCTTCTCCGAAGAGAAGTAAATGTAACTTGTCAAGGTCACCCAGTGGGTTTCAATGACCAAGCAAGTATTCAAAACATGGTCTCCAGAGTTTTGGTCCAATGCTCAAACTACTATACGACACTGGCTAGTTGTGGTTATGAAATGATACTAATAGTCAAAAAACAACAAAAATATTTCTTTACATAACATGTAATTAGGCTATACAATTACTATCAATTACTACTATCTTGCCTTGATGAAAAACTAAATAAGAAGCATCTACACAGAAAGATATAAGTTCATTAGTCCTCTAAATTGCCACTAAAAATAGCCTCTAGAAAAATATAGCACACTAAATCAGTTGTAGTTCAAAGGCTGGTCTTATTGTTAGTTTAAGATGTTAGTTTAAGATATCGGAATATTCTTATTGTTCTTGCTGCAATAAACTAATACATCTATTCCATCTCTCCACTTATAATAATTATAGAAAGAGAAAAGAAGATTGGATAGGAAGGCCAAAATCTACCTCTGTGCACAATTCAAAGTTTCCCTAACTCTGTTGATCACTGATGACATTAGAGTTCTGAAAACTTGCTCACGCATCCAGTTCCAACTACTATGTCACACAAATTAATCAAACATGAGAGACAAAAGCCCTCTTAAAGTACTTATCTCTTATGACATTACCTACACGCAATTTGTATTTGTTTATACAATGTTACAATTCCAACTCCAAACATATAGAATACTAACAATATGTTTGAAATGCTGCAGGAATCAGCACTCGAGAGGAAAGGTATGTTGTCTTATCATTGCAACGTAAACTTACTGGCAGCACATGGGGTGCCGAGTATGCCTGCCCTGTTTGCCTATGCAAAGCAGGTGAACATAGCACTGAATGAAACATGCAGAATAATCACAGGATGTCTTAAACCTACACCTGTTGATAAACTCTACAAGCTAGCTGGCATTGTGCCCCCCCCCCCGATGTGCGACGGGAAGTTGCTGCTAAATGTGAGAGAAATAAAGGTTGAATACTGGTGAAAGCCACCCACTACATGGCTCCCAGCCTCCTCCCAGAAGACTCAAATCAAGGAAAAGCTTTATGAGAACTACTACTCCTCTTGGCGTCCCCCCAGCAACAGCAAGGGTATCCCTCTGGGCAGCTAAATCTGGAAACCCCAACTGGATGGCCCACCACGAGGATCTTCCTCCAGGGGCAAACCAAGAATGGGCAACTTGGAAGTCCCTGAACAGCTTCAGAAGTGGAGTGGGCAGAACAAAAGACAATCTGGCAAAATGGCACTACCTAAAAGTATCCCACACCTTGTGTGACTGTGGAGCAGAACAGACAACTCCACATCTGTATGCTTGTCCACTATGCCCTGCCTCATGTACAGAGGAAGAATTGTTGGAGGCTACAGACAATGCCATTGCTGTTGCCCATTTTTGGTCAAAATATATTTAACCACCTGCACTCCTTCTATTTTTATTGGTTTTATACTAATTTATGCAATGCTTTTGATATGAAATAAATAAATAAACAAACAAACATAATGGTGATCTGTATTATTAAATAAAAGAAAAGATGATGCCACTCTGAAAGTTAAAACAAACTGTTGCTAAACTACATACCAGATTCCTTATTCTCCACCAGAACTTACATTTTCTTAAATGTTTAACAGAAGAAGTACCTGCCATCTTCGTTGCTGCGGAAAAATACCAGGAAGGGATCTGATTTTCCAAAGAAATCTTTCTTGTCTAATTTGTTTGCACAAAATTGCATCAGCACAGCATCCTAATTTTTAAAAAAGACAGAAATATTGATTAGTGCAAACTTATACTATGTATTAATTACAGAAAGAACAACTGGCAAGAGTACTAGTCAAGTTCAGCTTTCGTTGATTCTAACAATAACTTCAAAAGGAAAACATATTATGAAATTCTCCTCTTTGTTCCCTCTCTAGTTTTAAAAATATAAAACATATGCTATATACCATCTAATAAACTAGAGCTGATGTGGTCTATCCAATGCAATTTCTGAATCAGTGCCCCAAAAAACCCCAGGAATAGGCCTAAAAACCAACATGCCAATAATTCATTTTGGTTGGTAAGAACCGAATGAACTTTAGCAAAAGAAAACTATTTTTTAATTTACCCGGCAACAGTTCAGTTCCTCTGCAGTTAGTATTATTATTCCGCATTTCCTCCCAGGAATTCCTCTGAAACAAAGCAGATGAGATACTACTGTTTATGGAAATATAAATTAAGAAGACTTTCCTAACTAATTGACTAAAGACCAACTGTCCGAGCTGTATTAGTTTCTCAATTCTTATTAATAAAATGTGCCCCCCTCCCACACCATATACTGTATACTATTCTTTCTCAAATGAAAGTATAGGATGTCCCAAAAATGTTAACACACCTAACAGGATTAAAGATTCTAACAGTAGAAAAGTGTTGCAAAATTACAACTCTGAGAGAGGTTTGTGAGTCTGTGTTTAAATAAAGCTAGCCGCACATTGCTATGAGGGATAACTATTTAATCACTTTACATAAAATTGGAATTTAAGATTTTTTAATCTTTTGAGTAAACAACGTATTCTTCAATATAAATGTATTTACTCAGGGCCCTTTCAGATAGACCCTATATCCCAGAATCCGATACCAGGTTTTCTGTATTAAACTAGATTATATGAGTTCCCACTGCTAGATAATCTGGGATGAACAGTAAACCTGGGATCAGATCCTGGGATATAGGGCCTGTCTGGAAGGGCCCTTAGTCTTCAAATAATAACCAACAATTATCTTGCTTTCTTGTAAAATAGACCCTTTATTGTTATCCCCACTTTATTTTATTTCTGTCTATTATTTATTTATTTATTTATTTATTTATTTGCTTCATTTGTATACCACTGTTCTCAGCCCTTGGGCGACTCACAGCGGTTAACAACAGTAGCAGCAAAAATTCAATGCTAACATCAACAAGAAATATAAAAACAAGAAATATAGTAACATAGTAACAGACTAAGCAATTAACATCAATAACCACTCATTGGCATCTCATAACTGAAAACATGATCCAAACTCGTCATCCGTTGTTCCGTTCCTATATTCATTGCACTGCCTATTCAAACGCCTGTTCAAATAACCAGGTTTTCACTTTCCTCCGAAATGTCATTAGTGATGGAGCCGATCTAATGTCTGTGGGAAGGGCGTTCCACAGCCGAGGGGCCACCACCGAGAAGGCCCTGTCTCTCGTCCCCGCCAACCGTGCCTGTGTTGCAGGCGGGATCGAGAGCAGGGCCTCCCTGGAAGATCTCAAAATCCTAGTGGGTTTGTAGGCAGAGATGCGATTGGATAGGTAACTTGGGCCAGTATTTGTATTATAGTATTTGTATTGTAGGATCATAGGACAATTAACATTAAAGTACAAAGAAAATACCTTGTATATACAAAGAAATACACTAAAAGCATATTAAACATTTTAAAAATTAAAACACAGCTTAACAGGTTAAATCAGTTTAAAACTAAATGAACTTAGAATAAATCAATTAGGCCTAGCTATGACGGCCATATATTACCTCCAGTATCAGAAGCTGCAAAATATTGCATACAAAGACCTACAACGTAAGGAACCAGACATACTGTATGAAGTAATACACAGGGACATATCAAACATCTGCGACAAATTTCCATCCTTCATTAACATATAACATTTCTGCAACCTGTCTGCAGGAGGCACAGCAACTGGTGTTTTGGAACTTGGTTCTATCAGGGAATTTGCCAGATGGCAAGCTGACCATGATGGGCCTAAGGGCTTGCTGCATCCCAAAAGACCACAAACAGTGCCATGGCTGAAAGATCCTTATATAAGTGACCCAAGTATAAATCTCCAGTTGCATCTACACTGCCCTATATTCCAGGATCTAATCCCAGTCTACACTGCCAGATAATCTGGGATATGAGTCTACACTGCCAGATAATCTGGGATAAGCAGATAATCTTGGATCAAATCCTGGGCTATAGGGCAGTGTAGATCCAGCCCCATTGACCTATACGTAATTTGACCTAGGTTTTGTGAGTTGACTTTTGTCAAAAGGCTTTCAATTTATACACAAGTATGTTTGTTGTTTATTCATTCAGTTGCTTCCGACTCTTCGTGACCTCATGGACCAGCCCATGCCAGAGCTCTCTGTTGGCCGTGGCCACCCTCAGCTCCTTCAAATTCAAGCCAGTCACTTCAGGGATATTATCCATCCATCTTGCCCTTGGTTGGTCCCTCTTCCTTTTTCCTTCCTTTCCCCCCAGCATCATTGTCTTCTCCAAGCTTTCCTGTCTTCTCATTATGTGGCCAAAGTACTTCATCTTTGCCTCTTATATCCTTCCCTTCAGTGAGCAGTCGGGCATTATTTCCTGGAGTATGGACTGGTTTGATCTTCTTGTGGTCCGAGGCACTCAGAATTTTCCCCCAACACCACAGTTCAAAAGCATCTATCTTCCTTTGCTCAGTCTTTCTTATGGCCAAGTATGTATGGTAGCAATAAATACAGATGATATGGTACTAGCTTTCCTCTTTCCTCTTCATTCCTTTTCCTTTTTTATCATTATAACATCTTCAGTCTACTGGTGGGGACTGTCTTATATATAAAACACTTAGAAAATGCGGGCATTTACAACTGTTAAAATAAACAAATAAAACTATAAAATCATACTTACACAATTGGTTTTTCTAGTCTGCTTCCTTGTGACCCAACAATCTCTCCAAGGGTACAGAACACTTGCCCCAAGAAATCCTGCAAAAGTGTTATCATGGAAATGCATAAAACTCATTTTTCAGGGATGGTGTTCTTTCTTGGCATGCTATCCACACTTTCACATCATTATGGGGATGGTCTTATGACCGTCTTGGGTTTAAAAAATAAAAACAGACACAAACATACACCACTTCTTCCTTAGGCACAACTTGTGAGAAAAACTAAAGGCTTCTTTCCAAATAATATTTTCCCTCCTTCTGTATTGTTGATATCTATGATCTTGTTAGTATCAGTAAAATGACTGCATTAGATCAAATAACAACCAGAGACTCTATGATTAGTAGGCAAGATTTTATAGGGCAAAAGATAAAATTTAGCTGTAAAATCAGCTAAAAGTAAAATGATAAATCTTTTGTGTTGGCCAGGGCTATACCACAAATTGAATGGGTTAAACCCTTGTGCCAGTAGGACTGCTGACCAAAATGTCTGTGGTTCAAACCCAGAGAGTGGGATGAGCTCCTATCTGTCCTTGGAGACAGCCAATTCTGTCATACCAGAAGTGACTGGCAGTTTCTCAAGTCGCTCCTGACACAGAAAAATAAAACACCTCTGCTTGTCAACTCTCAAAAATCATAACATGATCACTGCTAAGCTTACTGCTATGCTAGTAAGTTTTAAACTTCCATTCTCTCTCTACATGTGCACAAGTATCTGCCAACTAAGCCTACCCTCCATGCTTATAATGAAATGGGCTGAAGTACATAAAAGCTTAGGCCAAATAAAAGCATTAGACAAGTTGGTTAGGGCTTTTAGGGGCTGGAGTCCAAAACATTTGGAGGGTCACAAGTTTTGCAGATCTACAAAGTGTCAAAAGACTCTGCTATTTTTGCTACAGCAAACTGACACAGACACTCCCTGGAAATGTCCACAGATTAATTTTATCAGGATATATTTTTATATTAAAGTCAAGTAGTACATACATGCTTTGATAGATCTGGGCTCTTTGAATCAACATCATATCTATAATAAAAACAGAAAAATGAATTGATTTATATGCAGAAATAGCCAGGAAAAAGTAAGGATTTTTTTTACTGTTTTTCTTACTACAGCATTTATTTTGAGGCCCCAGCTACACTGACCATTTGATGCATATCACATTGCATTATATGGTTAGTATAGACCAGAGGTCCTCAAACTAAGGCCCTCGCTCAGGGTCAAACTAAGTCTGAAACGACTTGAAAGCACACAACAACAACAACAACAACAACAACAATTCTATCTCATCAGCCAAAAGCAGGCCCATACTTCCCACTGAAATACTAATAAGCTTATATTTATTAAAACTGTTCTTCATTATAATTATTGTATTGTTTTAAAGTGTTTTTTACAGTACAAATAAAATATGTGCAGTGTGCATAGGAATTCATTCATGATTTTTCAAATTATAATCTGGCCCTCCAACAGTTTGAGGGACTGTGATCTGGCCCTTTGTTTAAAAAGTTTGAGGACCCCTGGTATAGACTCATAGAGACCTGTCATTTTAATACACACATTATATATATTGACACTTACCAAATAATGCAATGTAATCTGCATTAAGTGACCAGTGTAGATGGGGTTTAAATATATAGGTTATAAAAGGGCATGATGAGATGACATCTGCATTCAACTCTTAGCCCTAAATTCAGGTGTAACTCAGCTGCAGTTCATCAAAATGTCTGAATGTTTTTACAAAACACAAAATATCACAGATAGAAAGGAACCTGATAGACATATAGTCAGCAAAAACTACATATTTCATTTACCCAAAGGTAAGGCAAATCTAATAAGAAAGGTGGCAAGCAACTCTATTCTGGAACACACATAACAATTATAATGAATACTTAATTTTTTATTTTGTTAAATTTCTTTACATTCCAAAGCTACAGTAAGTAACATTAAAATCCATACTTAATGTATGTATTATTTGTAGGATGACTTATATTACCTGTGCCATAAACATCTATATAGTTCAATTTTTTAAGTTTTACATCGAGGGTGTTAAGGGGAAAACAAAAAAATTCCCTTTACAAGTTTATACTGCACACACCAGAATAATGGGGTGGTGGTGTTGGGGAGAGACATCTGGGCAATGAAAATGACCATTTGAGTATCATTGTTCATTGATTTAATATCTATAGTTTCACTCCAAGCATTAGTGGGCCCCTCTAGGTCCTCCAGTGTGATTTCTTAGTATGTTTCTAACTTAAATATAATCAAAATGTAAAGTCTGCTATTATCCATGGTTTCAGGTATCCATGGGGATATTGGAATGTATCCTCTGAGGATATGAAAATCATAATGTATGGCAATTGTATTTATCTTTTGCTATAAAACTGAATAACTGCCAGTAACACTAAACATTTTTTTTTAAAAAAAAGACCCAGTTGACATAACATCTGAGACTGAAAACACAATAGTTTCACCCACCTATGATTATGGCTGCCATATGGCCCAACTGAAATTTGGTGTTGCCGCCTACAGTTTGTTTAACTCACTTTACTATATAACAATCTATATCTGTTATTACTATATAGCAGGTGGAAGACCTGTGGCCCAGAGTGTATCATGACATCTCTGAATGAGGTCCATTACTCATACTGTGGCTCTGGTTTCCAATAAAAAAATCCTTATACCAAAACACTTCTTGAGTTGTTGCAAAGGGCATCTTAGATTCTAGTCTAAATGCAGCTGAAAGTGTATGTATTCTGTTTCACTGAACTTGCAAGCAGATCAGTTTTGCTTTTGAATTTTCAAAAACAAGACTTTTTGCACAAAAGTAGAGTTAGAAAGATCAGACATTCTTGAACTATGCTAATAGAATTTTTTTATAAGTGTGCTAGAACATGGATTTCTCTATTTTTTGGATAGTTGACATATCTGTCCCCAGCTACACCAAAGACCATCTTCCAAAATGCACAGAGGTTAGGAATTGTTTGCAAATTGGACCACCACAAGTGTACAGCAGTATTCTATACATTGAACAAAGATAACAGGTACAGTTTCAAATCCTTTCCGTTGTGTTAACTGGAATTCTACTTCAAAAACAAGTAGCATTAATTAGATATATTATGTTAATATCTTGGCTCTCTAGATTGGAGACACCAAATTACCCTCTACAGAAATGATTAAATTGCAATTCCTATCTGCAACTCCCATGAGCAATAGCTGGAGATGAAATTCAACATCATCTGGAGGACCGTATTTATGTATTCTTGGCCTAGATTGTGTTTCCTAGACTGAAAATAGGCTACAGGCAGCCCCCGAGTTACAAACATCTGATTTATAAACAACTCATAATTAAGAACAGGGGTGAGATAACAAGAAGTGAAAGCAATCTACTCCTGGGAAGAGAAATTTATTCCTAGAAATCATTATCATGGGGAAAAGGAGTCTCAACTGAATCTTTATCGCCAATCATTGTTTCCGCAACAAGCAGAACTTTTCAAAATCTAATTCTCACAGGGACATAAAGTGAGGTGAAATCTACTAAATAGGGACACATACAGCAAAACAAACACCACAAGGGTGTTAACTCTTCCCTGTGCTATCAAAGCTTATATGGGGGGGGGGGGAGGTTAGATTCTGTAGGTTTGTTCTTAAGTTGAATTTGTATGTAAGTCAGGACAAGTATATTTATTAAAGTTACACTACATATTTCCATGACTCCAGCTAAGTACAAATAACATTTGCATGCATGTTAATTTGAGAATGCAAAGTAAGATAAAAATAACTAGGATTCTGAATTAGAATTTTCACACTAGATTTTACTATAGTAAAATTTTAATTTAAAACAATAGCAAGCAACCAATTTGCATCTCAAATAAGAGTTTTTGACATTTCTATATATTCTTATATTTGAATAAATGTTAGCTAAATTAAGAGACATGTAAAGCATTGTTCTGTTCAACAGACATCGTTAGAACGTGCTATTTTATTTTAGCGATGTTACCATAGACTGCATTTATGATCACACAGAAGGGAATTTTTTTAAAAAAAAAAACAACCAACATAAGCCAAATTTGGTGTTTGGGAGGTGGGAGGGACTACCATCAAAACACATATAATAAAGTGCTAGAAGGCTCTGAGAGATATGCTTTCACAGGTTCAGATGGCCCCTTTGAGTGAGTCAAAGGGACCACAAAAAGACCACAAAAAAGAATCTTGTGAATCAGGTAAAAACACATTTTTCTGCTATGTCATTTAAAATTTCATTTCATTTAGCCAATTTAATTTTAGTGGAATCTTACAATGAGGCTGAGAGAATGTGATTGCTTAGTTTCGAAGAACAGCCAAATCTGGTGTGTCTTCCTTAGGGAAAGTATGAGTTAAGATCAAAAGATTGAAAGCCCAGCATGAGGCCTTGTGTGATGCAGAAAAACAGCCCTAAAGGCCATGGTCAGGACTTCATCATCAGTTGAAGAAGCAATAAATGCATTAAAATGTATTTTAAAAGGGGAGGAGATGACGTAAATGATGTGCAGGACTGCCTGTGTCTTCCCCCAAGACTGAGAGAGTGAGGCCTGATGTACACTACCATATAATGCAGTTCAGTTGAGTTAATCTGCATTCTGAAACTGTATTATATGGCAGTGCAGATAGATGGAAACAGAAACTCAATATCAAAATGATTTGCTCAAGGCAATAATTTAAGATTTAATTTAAAAGAAAACTGTCTGCATCTTTCTCTGAGACCGAGAGTGTGACTAAAGGCCAAAAGAGTGTGACTCAATCAAGACAACAATTTATTAATAACTACCATATGTAGCAACATTGCTTGGACATGCATTTTCTATTGCTATTTATTAGAAACTAGCTTATGTACCTGGTGTTGCCCAGACATGCATGTTCAAACTAAGGCCCACGGGCTGAACGCGGCCCTCCAAGGTCATTACCCGCAACCAGCCTAAATTTTAGGCTTAGGATTACCTTAAATCTGAAATGACTTGCAAAGACAGCAACAGAAATCCTAATCAAATTGACTATCTCATCAGTCAAAAGTAAGCCCACACTTCTCATTGAAATACTGGTAAGTTTATATTAGTAAAAACTGTTCTTCATTTTAAACAAAGAATTGTTATTTCATGTTTTCTGCACTACAAGTAAAATATATGCAATGTGCATAGGGATTAGTTCATGTTTTTTTTTCCAAACTACAAACTGGCCCAGACTGTGAACCAGCTCTCTGCTTAAAATGTTTGGGGATCCCTGTTTATTTATTTATTTAGGATATAATTATACTGCCTTTCTCACCCCTGGGGGGACTCAAGGCAGTTAAAACATATTAATGGCAAGAATTCAATGCCAACATACATATAATAAAATAAAATCACAATAACTAAACACTGACATATAACTATAAATTAAAATCATTAAAACCATTAAACATAGGCATATACAATATGTAAAAACTAAGACAAAGCATTAAAAACATCTAAAAATTATCCACTGTGGCCATTCCCATTGTCATAGCTTGTGTTTTCTTATTATTCTTTGCATTGCGTTACTGGCAAAAAGCCTGGTCCCACAACCAGGCTTTCTGAAGGCCTGGAGAGATGGTGCTGATCTGATTTGATGACAAGTTGACTCCCGTTGCCATATTCCAGCATAACCGTGTCCAGTCCAGTCCATCAGAACCCACAGTATTTCAGTCTGGCATGTGCTGCAAACCTGAAACTGATGGGACTTCATTTTTAGGAGGACACAAACTGCCAAAGCCATAGCTGACATAGCCAAATGTGTGAAATGTGGAAGTTGCAGCCCACCAATGATTGCAGGGCTACACAGTTTGTCCTGCTGATTTGTGATCATGGTGTTCTAATGGGATCATTCACAAAACCATAAAGCTACCAATGTGTATTTCTAATAAATAGCATTAGAAAATGCATACGTGGACAGCACCAGGTACATGAGCTAGTTATAACACAAAAACTATACACTATTATAGAACCATACAAAATGTATGTAAATAAACTTACAAGTCAAACCGCAGATTCTGCCTCTCTTCAAAGAAGTAATCCATTATAAATTTTCTTACAAAATCTGGGTTCAGTGTATTATCAATTACTTCTGTTCTTCCAAACTATAAAATAAAATTTATGTAATACAATGTAAGTCAATAAAAGCTATATGTATTTCACATGTACACATATTCACCAAAAGATCACTGATTATTATTAAGGGAATGAGGAATGAGAACAAAAACTAACTACAGCAGCATATGGCATGGGAACCTAGTAAAAGACATCTTTACCAGAAAATGTTCACAAATATTTATTTGGGTAGTTCAAAATCTGTGCTTTTATTTATTTTAATCTGTTAATAATTTTAAGCAATTAAATAATAAAACATAAATAAAACAAACCATCTGGCAAAAGGCTGGGGGAGGAATGCAGGTTAAATATTATATGAAATAAAAGAATGAGATTATCTATTAATAAGAGGCATACAAACATAACGTAATGCTTCATGTTCAATATTGTAATAAACATAGCATGTAAAAAGAGGGAAATTATAATTATAAAAATTCCAAGAAAGTGATGTAATGGTATTTTGTAAATATTCTGCAGAAATAATTCTGTTAGAACAGCATTTCTAGCAGTTATGAAAAGGAAGTTGCCACATCTTGGTACTCAACAGGAGATAAAAGTATAGGCTGCATTTCTGCAATTGCAATTCTTTGAGTGGTCATCTGTGAACTCACACAATGGGCTATTTGACTCTGTGCAATGCATCATTCAGAACCTTTTAGAGCTATTCCATAATCTTTTTGGCAATAACCCCATTCATCCTTTGTGCTTGATCCCCTCACTTCCTGTCTAAAACCTCCGTCTCACAGACATTGAAGCAGCAGCATTCAAGGATCTAAGGAGAGACAGGACACGATGATGGGAGGATGGGTAGGCTGTGTAAGTTCACAGATGGCCACTCAAAGAACTACAATTACAGGTATGCAACCTGTCCTCCCTGGTGGTCTCTGTAGCTCCAAAATTAGGAGACCACAGGTTGCGGGAGCTTCATGCCACACAGTAAAACAAAACACCTCTCCCAAATATGGTGTCAACCCTATTTCTTTCATCAAGTCTGTAGTTGTAGAATGAAGATCAAGGACTGTGACCAGGAAGCTACTCTATACACATCCTTGAGATGTATACCCTTTAAAAAGTAGAAGATGTAACCATAGCACTGGTGTCATGCAAATAGGAAGAGCCTTATGGGCCAGTTCATCAGTTAAACAAATGATGAAGGTGACCCCCTTTTTCTTGGAAGAATAACAAACAAAAGTGATCTGGGACATCCTGAACCCAGCAATCCTATCCACACATAAGGCTATGGTCCTTCCGACATCTATGTTTTATGTTCAATGTAGGATTCTGCATCAATGGAAGGAGCACAATGTCCTGATTGATATGGGAAGCTGTGACTGCCTTGGGCAGAAAAGGAACGCCTGGTCTCAGAATCACTTTATCACAAAGGAAACAGAGGTAAGGTTGATCAAACCTGAGAGCACACAGCTCTTCTGATCTTCTGAAAGATTTAATCACCATCAAAGCACCTGTCTTTCAAATAAATAAGCAAAAATGAAAGGATGCCAATGAGCTTTCCAGAAGGGTGTGTCAAGACTCTTTAAGCTTTGTTAATAAGTTCAGAGTTTGGTTGCTTTTATATTCTTTAATATGATTGTCTTGATGTAATTTGTTTGAATGTTTTTTCCTTTGGCATTGAATGTTTGCCATACATTTTGGAAATTACCCTGAGTCCCCTCGGGGAAATAGGTGGTCTACAAATGAAGTTTATTATTATTATTGAGGTGTTGGTCCAGAGATTGAAGGGGAAAGATTTTTGTAACCCTTCAGAAACTTCTTCATCATAGGGTGTTGCTGTAGTCTATAAATTCTCTGAAATAGTGGCCAAGAAAGGGGAAATACCCCTACTCAGAAATGGAAATCAAAAATTCAAGGACTTGCTGAATTTGGTTTTGGATTGGCAAGGTTGGGCGGAACTACTGCCCAAATTCTTATGTAATTGCTCTAGAAGTTTCCAAACAATGAATCGCACAGGAGCAGCGAATCCATTTTTGTGAGTTAATAGAAACAATGAAGGAGAAAATATAATTAATATTTTGATTTTAAGCCAGAGCATCGTTTAGAATACTGAATTTGCACAATTAGAATGCAAATTAATGCCCATAGTCACAACAATTTGCATAATATACAAATTAATGTCCAGATTTGTAAGGCTGCAATATGGCAACCCTATGCAAGCTGAAGATTTAAAATTAACAGATACATAATCTCTGACCAGCTATGTAAGTTAATCAACATTTTCTATTATAGGTTGAACATTCCTTATTTTGAATTTCAAAATCTGAAACACTTCAAAATCCAAAATTGTCTTCATGGATGGCTAAGATTGCAATACCCTTTGTTCTGATGGTTCAGTGTTTTTGTCCATAGTTTTGCTTTATGCATAAAATATTTAAAATACTGTATGCAATCATCTTTATGCTATGTGTATAAGGTGTATATGGATTGATTTTATGCTTCTGGTCCCAAGCATTTTGGACAAGGGACACTCATCCTGAATGGCTTTTTAAATAACTCAAAATCTAGCCACTATATCAACCTGAAGGGATCACATTTTTTTTAAAACAAAGTTTAAAAGTGCCTCATCCTTTAAGGCAGTTATTTGAGCTTCTTGATAAGACGCCTTGGCAATCTCAGTGGAAAACATGACATGTCAAAAAGATATGAATTAAAATGATGACAATAAGCTACTATAACACAAACTCCAGTCTCTTGAAGCTGCAATATATCAAACTATGTGTAGATCATGTTAAGAAAAAGGAGAAAAATGGCTTTCAGAGACCACATAAAACTCTGATAAAAAAAACATACTGTACACTTGTAAAATATGAGACTTTTAGAATTAGACAAAAAGTGATTGAAAGCTCTGGAAAGTAATAGTAACTTCTGTCATCAGATAAACTTTTCTGGCATGTAAAACTTTGATAAAAGAAACAACTCCAGAGCACACAGAAGCACAGTGTCATTATTTTTCATTATCTATAGATGTGCTGTCTATGACAGGTCCTGTCAATCCAAACTTGTCTTCAGTCAGTAGCAGCGTAACACAGATTAATTGCTAATTCATCTTCAGAGAGAGCCAAAAGCCCTACAAAGGTTACATATGTATAACTGTAGTTCTTCAAGAGGTAATCTGTGAACTGACTGAAAATTGGTTATCTATGCCTACACAGTAATAGAGGCTGCATAAAGAGATGTATTCTTCTCTGCTTGTGCCTTAGTGGCTGCCAAAAAGGCATGTTTGTTAAATAATGCCTTGAGGTGCAAGTCCCAATTTTGTCTGGCCTGAAGTGTGAAGGTCTGGCAGTGAGAAACAGACCAACTTTGTGAGCCTCACTTAAACATAGCAGACACTTGGAATGTGTGACTTTGGGTTGTTTTTTTTCTTCACAGTGAAGGCACTTTTGAAACATAAAAGATCCCCTCTGGAAAGAAATGAGCAAAGCACAGACTGAACACGAGAGCTGTCAGACAAAGCCTCAGTCAGAAACGATCTCTAGTCAGAGAGATGAAGTCAGACCAAGAAGTACAATATGCAGAAAATGGAGCAGAAGAGAAGAAAATCTAGAAATGAACCGATTCTAACAGTAAGAATCAATCCGAAAAGTTCCTAGTAATGGTGCTGTAATGGCAGAAGAAAAGAAACTAAGGATTTAGGTAAGAAGAGTGCTACATAGTGGCACTGAGGGTGGGAGAGTTATCACTAAAATGTTTATGTAATAGCATTGAATTTTCCAAAAAGATTAGCAGCAGATAACCCATCTGTAGGAATCTCAGAGACTACTTAGAAGAAGAAAGAGATTGAGTTCTGTAGAATCTGAAGTAGAAGGGACCATAAGGCCCATTTAGTTCAAAATCCTGCCTATGTTTTGGAGATATTTATTATGTTGGGAAAAGATTACTTTAATTTTGAAATATATATTTCAAAATAACACAATCAGTTGGACCTATTTCAAAATAAATATAGGTAGGAACTACCAGGGAATTGTTTAAGCTGAGAACTCGGATCAGAGCAATTGCATTTATATTATACACAAAAGCAAACCGACTAGAAAGCAGGGATTGTAAACGAAAAACACAAATTACACAGGCTAAGGAAGCTTCGCTATAAACTATTTTTTCTACTTGAAACAGCTTTTTTAAAAAAACCAATATTTGGGGAAACAACAACTGAAAACTTTCTCCTATTTATATCAGAAATCAAAACATGAAACTCAAAAGCAAGCTCAAATCTTGTTCCAACTTGTGACCATACTTTATCATGATGTATGGGTACAGCCAGTTCATATTACTTTAAAAATGTGATTCTAATCATCCACAATCTTTTTTCTTTTTTTTAAACTAAATCACAAGATTTCCCCCTGATGTGATAAACTGTAAATGGCAGATATAATTTTCTGAACAACAACAATAAAAATTACCTCTCTCCATTCTTTATTCCCCATACCTTGTGTATATAATACACAGACTGCAAAAGAAAAGAAAAAAAGAACAGGCAATTAGTTTCAGAATATTTACATTTAACATTTCTGTTACAAACAAATGTGGCATTTGTAATCCTGAAAGTTTTAAACAAAATATTCATATATTATGAAATATATCTGAGCCCATTTAGGACTCACTAAATTTATGTTGCCATTTATGGGTTTTTAAAAATTATAATAAAATTCCGAGAAGAAATTGTAGTCCATCAATACAGTTGGGATGGGTTTAATGGCACCTTTCTTGAGAAAGTTGTAAACTGCATCTAGCAACATATCAGAAGGGGGTGTAACACATAATATGCTTTCTGGAGGAGGAGGATCCACACAATATCAATGACCTAGAAATTGATAGCAATCACACTCCAGGTATGATGGAAATGTTCCAGCTTGTTGCCAAATTGGAGAGAAAGCAGGAAAAAGATGACATGGGAGTCAAAGACTTTTTTTGGTTGATATGTTTTTCTTAAAATATTGCTGATACTGTCCTGAAGCTTTTTTTTTTTTTTTTTTTGCTTTTTGGAAGATGCAGCTGGGAGTGGGAATGTTGGAAAGCTATCGGACTATAAGAGCTCAACACATTAGAAAAGGGTTGGTTCCACCTGAGGCAATTCCTACTCAAGCCCCTTCCACATAGGTGAATAAAAGTCACCATTTTCTGCTTTGAACTGGGATATATGGCATTGTGGACTGAGATATTACAGTTCAAAGCAGATATTGTGGATTACTCTAACACTGATTGTGACAATGTGTAACTTTTATTTCTATGGTTATGTGTTGTTTAAACAGTAGTTAATAAATGGTAAGTATGTAGGATTATATTTTGTTAGAGATGGTGGCTGGTGGCTTGAGCTGAGTTGCCATAGCAACGGGGGCGGAGCCAACTGCCTCTTCACGGTGCAGCTTTTTGAAAGTGGCAGTCTGTAAGCCGGTGAGCTACAGGGAAGGACTGGTTTCTCTAGTGGGAGAAACAGGGAGTTTATTTGTGACCAAAGGGGTTACAGGAAAGGACCCGGTAGTGATAAAACTACAAGGGGTTATTGATTCTGGGTTAAGAATCAAGGTTTGGCTGGGAGCCAATTCTGTTGAATAGGCCTTTTGGCTTATTTGTTTTGTTAGGACAGTTGTCCAGAAGAGATACATCTGCTTATAGAAACCTCTTGGAAGTCTGTGCCTGAGGTTACTCATGAAACCTTACTAATGTAACCAATCAAGATTTGTGCCTCTTGTGAAGAAACAATTAAACATGTTATACTCCTGTTAAAATAAACTTACTGTTTTCCTCAAGCCTTGCCTGATACAGTTTCTCGTACGTCAAACAGCCTGCATAAGAAGTAAAACCAAACCAGGGAAAGAAAACGCTACGCTATCAATACTTCTGTAAATAATAGTCCCTTTATAAACCAGCTCATAAGCTGATATTGATCATTGCCCAGCTTTCCTCACAGATTTGGTGGCAGTAGTTCTACCCTCCTTTACACTGATATTATATGGCTGTGTGGAAGGGCCCTCAGTTGAAAAAGACACATTCATTGTAGGGCATGTCTTTGATTGCTGCTTGAGCTGGCATTAACAGGCTTGAAAACTATATCTAAACATGCCACAGGAGAGGCACTGGACCTACTAGAAATTCAGATGATGAGCAATCTAAAATGTGGCACCACAAGCTGATCTGTTGTCAAACCAAGAAAATGGGTCTTAGACTACAAAGCACTAGCAAGATGTTGATCCTCATTGGGAAGCTCAGCAAGAATAATGCTTTCCTTTTCTACAGGTGCTAATGGTAAACTTCCATGCAGGCAGACTGATCACCTCTGGATAAAACACACTGATTACCTCTGGATACATAAGGGGGGATGCAACATTTAGGCTTTTTGATGCCTTTCAATGATATGGCAGTTAGATCAAGAAAATATAAAGCAACTAGCCGTCCCTTGCCACACGTTGCTGTGGCCCAGTCTGTATATGTGTTTTGTGTGTGTGTGTGTATATATTTGTGTATATGTGTATATATGTGTGCTTGTGTATACGTGGTTTTGCACATGCGCTGTAATGCATTTTTTATTTTTTGGTTTTTTAAGTCTCTTCCGCTGCGTTTCTCAGTGTTTTTATGCATGATGGTCACTCGTTGGCCTGATAGGTGTATTGTGTCCAAATTTGGTCTCAATTTGTCCAGTGGTTTTTGAGTTATGTTAATCCCACAAACAAACATTACATTTTTATTTATATAGATTCATAACTGTAAAGTAAACTGCTTGCAATCTTAGGAAATTAAGTTTTCAAAAAATGATGTTAGACAGCAGGAACACCGTCAATCATGATAATTATTATCAGGACAGTGGGTGAAATCAGTGACAAGTTAAGCTCCAAAGATGGCAATATAGAGCACCTGTCAGTGTGGAGTTGGTACATTTGGTTAATAACTTGTCTTCTGCTTTCAACTTCATGGAACAAGATTGCCTATTAGATAGGTCTATGTGAACTGTGATTAGCTTGTTTGTCCTTGTTTTTTATGTACAAGCTGCCATGACCAATTTTTCTGCCTTATATTAAGCTGAGACAAGCGGTCATACTCTTCCAGTAAAACTCTTACAGTTTTATTAGGCTCCTTGGAGATCGCAATATCTAAACCTGCACATTATTAAACTTTTTTAAACCAATTATTATTCTTGCTCTTAATTAGCAAATATCATTGAGGTTGAGCCCAACATCTCTTTTAGACAACCGCCATGCTTGATGGCTATCTATGCCCCACTTGGTATTTATGTTCTATCATTTGATTAGATTTAAACTATGTTTGTGGCCCATAAGATCATATAAAGCTAACCTGTCCTTTCTTAGGCAGAGAATATTGAATTTCTCAAGGAGTCTTTCAATGCAATTTAAATGGGATTTAACTTCCATTAAAGATAAAACACCTTCATTTTATTAGAATTTGGGATTTCAGTAGGGAATTTTTAATTTTATAGCACCAGAAAGTTTTCCCAGACACAACTGTACAGAAACTCCTTGAGAAGGAGGGCACTGATTGGGGGAGGATTTAACGAGTTTCAAACCTCATGATTCTCATCATATCTTGGTTTCAAGGAAAGTGTGATCATTGAGATGGTGTTAGCCTCTAATTCCAAGCAAACTCAACAACCATGTCTAACAATGAGGAACAGGTTTGTAGTCCAATAAAACCTACAGAACATCACTTTGCCTACCCTGGTTTCAGGACGGGAATAACATAATTGTAATTCAGAGGCTAATGAGAAATGAATTGTACGCTTTCCAGCTCATCTTACAAGTCAGAAGGTGAAAACAACTTTCTGGAGTTTAATAAATTGAGAAAGTTATTAACAAGTGTGATTTACAATGGTAGAGCATAGACCTCCATACACTAGATTATGAACCTTCCACCCCACCCCTTCCAGAATTCAGATTAACCCAAAAGGAAGCCTTTGTGAAATGGAAAGGGGTTAATAGTGAGAGTAAAATAGGATGTCTGCACATCTCATTAAGGAATTTCTTGTGTTAACCATGGTTTACTACTTAAACCATTAATGGTATAGTAGACAAACAAGCAAATTTGTCTTTCAAATTTAGTTTCTGATTTATCACTCTGTTTATATGTTTGTGTGACAGTGTAGGAAAAGCTAACATAAACAAGCCACAAATACGGAATCCTAAATCATGACAGGCTTTGATTTAAATTAGGGTTTGTAATTCTTAACCAATTATGGGTTATGGATGTGGCTTGTGATTGGTAACAAATTGTGATTGAGTAGCAAAGGCAACTTTGCACAACAGAACAGGCTACATTAAAAAAGCATGGTTTATAATTACATGTGATACTAAGTCAATACTTTATAATTTATTTTAAATAGAGAAATGTTTTAATTTAGTACTTACTGGGATCAGATTTTGAGAAAGTGTCTCTGTCCAAAAGATTCCTGTTAATAAAAGATAAACATGTTTAATATTTAAACCACATGGAGTCATATAGTAAGAGTATTTAATGTATATGCCCATTCCTATTTATAAAAACTATATATATACATATATAAACATATTATATACCACACTATTAAAACATTAATAAAATCACCAAAAAATTCAGAAGAAAAAATGCATAAAACAGATATCTATACCAACTGATGTTATAAACCAACTTAAAATACTTGGATAAACAAATATGTTTGGGAATGATGTTGGTGCCAGTCACTCTTTAATGGAATACCCCCTCCCACAACAAGCATCACAACAGAGAGGGTTTCCCCCCCTTGTTGTCACTTAATGTATGTGCCGCACATGGCCTCCTTTGGGGTTTGTGAGACACAGCTCGGTTGATACAAGGAGATGGATTGCTTCAAATACTTGAGTCTCCAGCCATTTAAAGAGTTAGCAACACCATCTTGGATTGTGGTCAGACATGACTAGAAAACTACTGAAGTTCTTTTAGAACAGGTGTAACTTAACCAAAGTACATTCAATACAGTTCTGACCACGGCATTCTGAGTTGGCTGATTTTGAGCTGTCTTCAAAGGCAGTCAAATCAAGTGAGTCAAGTCAACTTTATTTATATCCCGTCCCATCTATCCTTGGGGACTCAGGGCATAAATGGCAGTCATTCGATGCCACAAAAAAAATGTAAATACATAATAAATTAAATGCAAACACTGTAATTAAAATGACAATTATCATAATCAATAAAATACACACGACAACAGTGATTAAAAGGAGAGTAAAAAACCCATCCATGCTTGACAGGATGTAACTACGCAGAGCTTGGTCCAATTCCCCCCAATCCCCTCCAATCTAAAGCACCTGAAAATATACCAAAACACTTCCATTTCTATTTGTATCCTTCCCACAGTGTGTCATTTCAGGTTGCCATTGAGTCCAAGGTGAAAATGAAAGGAGTTCAGATGAGAATGGGTTTTAGGGCATGAGTGGGTACGATTTCACAACTTTTTGTGTAATTTCTAAGTGAGAATCACTGATTTATTTAAATTTGAGGGAACTGGGGAGGAGCTGTATTTTTCCTATCCATGCATTACAATTAAAGGAAAAAGTTGCCAGCACATGAACTAATGCAGCACATTATCCTTATCCAGAACAGCTAGTGAACCAGATAAAGGTGTGAAAACTTACTCCAAGCCACAAAGGCCTCAAACTATATATCGTTTTGTTTAGGGAGAGTGAAATCTTATATAGGGCAGGCTGCATACCCATGCTGCAGTCATGAGAACCACCTATTGGTTCTCGGACGATTGTGTCGGACGATTTGGTTCTTTTAACTGGGATGATAATGTTTTAATGTGTATGGTGCTGATATTTTAATCGTGTAATGAAGTGGCATTGTGTTGTTATTGTATATTTTTTGTATGTTAACACATGTTGTGAACCGGTCCGAATCCCTCTTTGAAGGTGAGAGGGTCGGTATATAAAACCTCGAAATAAAATAAATAAATAAATAAATATGTCAGTCTCAGTTTATTGGCCTACAGTACCTCATTATAAAACCTATAAATTGACCCAGTATGTTCACAGCATCACATGAAACAGAACCAAGAGTCATCTGAAATGCATTCTACTGACATTAACATACACGTACCTTAAATATATCTGAAATCCCAGTGTGATCCACAATCCGATTCAGCAAAAGCACTTTAAAACAAATGCTGCCTTTTGTACAATTGAAAATAAAATTTGGCTAGAGATGATGGACTCTTCAAAGATAATCTTGGTATGGAACACACCGCTGGATGTTATAGAGAATAATGAAGTGCTTGAACTCTACCAGAGAATGGATTGCACCAATTAGCAGGTGACTCACATTTCTGAATGTCCATCTATGTTTTTAAAACTTGCTATTATTTTTTTTTAAAAACCCACTGTACTGCAGGCATAAAGTTTTTTCTCAGTTTTTAAATGGTCATTTTTCAAATGTGTATATAGACCTAGTCTCAGATATACTGAAATTAAAAGTTTATAATAATGTATTATAAAACTTCCATTTTATAATATATATTGAAAATATGCTTAAAGCCTCCCTTCCAAAGCTTACCTAGCCACAATATAAATACTTAGGGTATTTACCTAGTTGTGATACTAAATAAATATGACTAAATAGTCTGCACCAGACTATTTAGTCATTTAAAAATAATTATCTGAGATATTAGGAAACACAGTCTACTGACACAGATTACCTTCTGTATCAGTAATAACACTAAATGGCTAAGAAAGGGACAAAAATATTTGGGAAACGAACAATGATTATACATAATTTAAAGCCATTTTTAAAATTCTAGCAGACCTATAAAATAACACTTTGACATTTCTGGCTTTATTTTGCTCTTCTTTCCTAAACCTAAAAGGAAATTGCATTAAATAACTTCCTGTGCTCCTTCAATCTCTGTAATACTAAGTTTTTCATTCTAGTATTGCCAAATATCTTGGTCACTGCTGTACAGTATGTATACACTATATTAAACTGTCCATAACATCACACAACTTTAAATTAAACTGGTGCATTATATGCATCTCAGAATGTTTTTGTTGAAGGACACCATCAAAATTTCCCTTTAAAAATATAGGTTAAAAAAAGCAAATATTTCTATAATAATGAATAAATTTAATAGATGAATTTTGACATATGCATGTGCAAACCAGGGAAGGAGCAGTCTGGGGGAACTTGTTTTTTCTCATCTCTACTGGAAAGAGCACTCTGCTCCAAATACACTACAGAACCATGGCAAGCATGCTTTGGTTTTTCCCATCAACCAAGGAGTGGCTGGGTTCTATGCACATTTGTGCAGGGGGTATAAGGGAAAGGGGTACGCAAAATCCTTCTCTCATGGAATATATTGGCCTGTCTCAGGGGACCATGCTTGCTCCATCAATGTTTAACAATTACACAAATGACCAGCCACTGCCAGAAGGGACAGAGAGTTTCATCTATGTTGACAATCACGAAATCATCGCTCAAGAAGGTAGCTTTGAAATGGTTGAACAGAAGCTCTCTGAAGCTTTAGGTGCTCTTACTTCCTATTACAAGGAAAACCATTTCTAATCCATCTAAAACACAGACATGTGCTTTTCATCTTAAGAACAGACAAGCATCTTGAGCACTGAGGATTACCTGGGAAGGAATCCCACTGGAGTATTGCAGCACACCAAAAATACCTGGGAGTTACTCTGGACTGGGCTCTGACTTACAAGTAGCACTGCTTGAATATCAAGCAAAAAGTGGGTGCTAGAAATAATATCATATGAAAGCTGATTGGCACAACCTGGGGATCACAACTAGATATAGTGAAGACATCTGCCCTTGTGCTTTGCTACTCTGCTGCTGAATATACATGCCCAGTGTGAAACACATCTCACCACATTAAAACAGTGAATGTGGCTCTTAATGAGATATCCTGCATTATCACAGGATGTCTATGCCCCACACCACTGGAGAAATTATACTGTTTAGCTGGTATTTCACCACCTGACATCCGTCGGGACGTAGCAGCCAATAATGAAAGGACCAAGGCAGTGACATCTCTGGCCTATCCTCTGTTCGGATATCAGCCAACATGCCAATGGCTTAAATCAAGAAACAGCTTCCTAAGATCAAGAGAGAGCTTGAAGGAACATCTCAGCAAGCAAGAATCCAAAAGTGGTAAATTAAAACCCATCACCTTAATCAGTGGCTGAGACTGGATGAGAAACTTCCCCCTGGGCACACAGAAGATTGGGAGACCTGGAAGGTGCTGAACAGGCTGTGCTCTGGCACCACAAGATGCAGAGCCAACCTTAAGAAATTGGGCTACGAAGTGGACATACGAGCGTGGAGAAGAGCAACCCACAGAACACCTACCACAATGCAACCTGAGCCCTGCCACATGCACACTGGAGGACCTTCTCACAGCAACATCAGAGGTAACTCCAAGTGGCCAGCTTCTGGTCAAAGGACATTTAGCAGAATGCCAAATTTTTAAACATTCTTTGTGTTTTTAAATTTATTTTAACAGTAACAACAACAACAACAACAATCTAAAGATTGAACTGCAAAGACTCTGGCAAAACCAGTCAAGGTGGTCCCAGTGGTGATCGGCACACTGGGTGCAGTGTCTAAAGACCTTGGCCTGCACTGAAACACAATCGGTGCTGACAAAATTACCATCTTCCAGCGGTAGAAGGCCACCTTACTGGGATCTGCACGCATTATTCACCAATACATCACACAGTCCTAGACACTTGAGAAAAGTCCGATGTGTGATCCAATACAACAGCCAGCAGAGTGATTTTGTCTGCTGTGGACCCATGTTGCTGTGTTTCAAATAATAATAATATTTATTTATATACAGCTGTATCTCCCCAAGAGGACTCAGGGCGGTTTCCAACATAAGGCAAAACATTCAATTGCCAAAAGTGCTAGTGCAACGGAGTATCATAGGGCCGGGGAAGTGGATAAAGTGCAGAGCAAGGGGAAGGGCCTGGGGAAGGGCCTGGGGCTAATCATTTTCTAAAGCCTGCTGGAACCACCAAGTTTTCAGGTCCCTGAGAAAGGAGGACAGTGTAAGGACTTTCCTAATCTCTCTGGGGGGAAGTGTTCCAAAGTTGAGGGGCCATCACCAAGAAGGCCCTCTACCTTGTCCCCACCAACCATGTTTGTGATGGTGGTGGGAGCGAAAGGAGGGCTGTGCCAGTAGATATTAGAGCTCGTGCTGGTTCATTGGGGGGGGGGGAGGGGGAGTTAATGCGATTAAGGAAATAGGTGGGACCTGAACTGTTTAGGGTTTTGTAGGTCATAACCTGCACCTTGAATTGGGACTGGCAATTTATTGGTAGCCAATGAAACCGCTTCCCAAAATGGGAAGGATGATGCAAAAAATAAACATAAAAGTGAGATACAAGACAGAAGAAGAAGAAAAGAACAAAACTAGAGAAACAATACAGT